TATAGACTGCAGATCCACCAAGACCTGAGGGAGGAGTTGGCCAAAGTGAAGACCCTTGAGTGTTTGGCTGATGTCAGCAGACGGCTGAGACTGCGCTGCCAGGTAACATCAGTTCACCCCAACAGTGCAGTGAGTAGTGTCAGTGTATGACAGTAACTGGCTTTGTTCATTAGCGTACAGTCATGGTCAGCTGGACACGTTTTACCAAACATAGCCTGCATCAAGTTGAAATGAGTAAGGGTTAGATACTCATTGTGATTGTAACAGGTGAAGGCTCTGTTATATACTTCTAACTTGGCTTAACGTTACTCATACTATAGGAAGCTAATCAGAGCCAGAGGACAAACCTAGTGCTAGCTTGGCTATTCATGTTGATCATGTGACCACTGTCATGCAGAGGATCCTGAAGAGATTGTGTTTTATGAGCACTGCTTCCTTTTCCAGTCTTATCAGTGACACAGGGTTTGGTATTATACAGGAGACGTATGTAAGCAGACTGCAGTACTAACAGGATGAAGTACTATCAGTGGTGTTCTAATCCAGTAGCTTTATCTCTACTTGTACAGGAGGAGATAGCAAGAGGCAAAGATTTGGAAGAGACAGAGGGTTGCCTGCCTTTCCCCCACTGGATCTGCCAACCATATGTTAGACCTGTGTGAGTTACCACACTTTGTTTTTAACATTCTCTATCATAATTTTCACAAGATGGTTTCAGTAAGTCGTCATACAGCTGCACATCACCTATAAAAGGAGAATCTATCCTGATAGTAAAAAACTGCCTTACAGGCCAAAGGAGCCAGTTGCCAATGGTAACAGCCAGGGGTCAGAGGTGAAGAAGACAGTGTGCCAGAAAAGGGCACTAGAGGTCTCTGATGGATCTGCTGACACTCTCTCCAAAAACAAGCAGAAGAAGAGATCCCGCAACCCCAACAAGAACTTCTGTCCCAAGCAGAGACGTGAGTCTGAACCATCGCTTTCTGCCCCAAGTGCTGAGGTCCTAGACCTTAAATCTGACAGTGTCTCTCTTCTTTCTTCCCACAGCAAAGTACATCAAGTGTGAACAGTGTGGGAACCCGAAGGTAAGCAGTCAATTAGTGTGTGTATGTA